CATGCTCATCTGCTTGCTACAGGTGAGGAAACGGAAGTTTAGAAAGGTTAAATAATTTGCCCAAAGTCATGTCCCTAGTGAAGGGCAGAATCAGGGTTTGAATCTAGGACTTGATAACTTAGGTGTGTGCTCCCTCCACGAATCTTCTGTTTATTCTTCTATTCCATGTCCAGCTTGGTCATGGAATATGCATGCATGGAATAATTAATTAATTAGATGACTAATTAATTTATTTGGCTGAATAAATGGCACTGACTTGGAACCATGGGGAGAACAGGTTAGCGAAAGAATGACTGATTGGAATCAGGTGAGTCTGGAAGGAGGCTGGGGCTTCTGGGCTTGCTATCAATGTGGTCCTAGGCAAAGTGTCTGGCAGGATGGAGACCTCCCCCGCCCAAAAGATGTCCACACCTGAACGCTTGGAACCTGTGAATGTGTTATCATATGTAGCAGAAAGGACTTTGCAGATGTAATTAAGGTTATGGATCTTGAAGTGAGAAGATTATCCTGATGGGCTCGACTGAATCACTGGAGTCCTTACAAGTGGAGACCCTCCCTGGCCGTGGTCAGAGGGAGAGATGTCAAGAGAAGAAGAGTCAGAGAGAAAGACTCACCTGGCCATTGTGGGCTTTGAAAATGGAGGGAGAGGAGCGTGAGCCATGGGGTACAGATGGTGTGGTTCCCTGGATCAGGGCTTCGAGTCAGGAATCACCAGCTTTGGGTCCTCTCGAGCTGTGTTCTGCCATTGTCACACCTCTCTAGCTGCACACCCAGGGAAAGGTTGCCCGCTTTTTCTTTGTGTCATCAAGGAAGGTTTTTTGTTTTTGTTTTTGTTTTTTTCTTTCACCTCTCACTTGCCATGTGACCTGAGCTAAATGACTTTTCTGTTTGAGTCCCTTTTCCGTGTCAGCAAAATAAAGATGTGCTCTGGACAACCTCTCAGACATCCTTTAGCTCTAAGATTCTGTGGGTCCGTGTGTTTCCAAGAAGAAAAACCAACCCCCAAACAAAAACAAAACTAAAAGCAAAAGGATTGACATCACTACCTTAGAAAAATAAGAGCTAACCTTTACTGGCTGGAAACCAGACCCTGTTCATTTAACAGCTCATTGAATCCCCTAAAAGGTAAGTGCTGCTCTTATTCCTGGGCACAGAGAGGTGAGGTGTCTGGCCTCAGTCACACAACATGAACATGACATGGCTGGGCTTCACCCTCAGCAGTTGTCCTCCACAGACCATGCTAATAACCAAGAGCATTGGACCATTTCCATGTTCACTCCTCCATCCTTTGGGTTATCCTGAGTCATCAGCAAGGGCTGATCATGTCTTGCTTACACCCATCTTGTCTTGGCTTTAACTCTATTTTCCTAGTATCGTCAGGTCACACTTTTGTGTTTCCTGGAAATCCAGAGCTGAGCTGGAAGAATATTCAGAGATGCTTAATACTCATGTCTTCATATTGTTGGATGATATGTGGGTCCCATACTCTAAGTGATTACAATCATAGCTGATGTTTGTTGAGTACTTATTATACACTGGGTCCATCCTTAGAACTTTATGTGTGTGATGGACATAAAGATGGAAACAATAGCCACTGGGGACTACTGCAGGGGGTGGGGAGGGAGGGGAATGTGGATTGAAAAAACTGCCTATTGGGTACTATGCTCACTACCTGGGTGAAAGGGTCCATATCCCATACTTCAGTATCACACCGTATACCCATGTAACAAACCTGCACATGGACTCCCTGAATCTAAAATAAAATTTGAAGAAGTCTCAGTTGCCTAATGGATAAGGCATAGGCCTCCTAAAATAAAATTTGAAATTATGGGAAAAAAAAAAAGAACTTGACGTGTGTTAACACTTTCACTTCTCACACCCACCCTGTCTGATGAGTTAGGCCTTCCTATCATCGCATTCTGCAGATGAGGAAATGGAAGCATGGAGCATGGCTGGGATAATGTGCCCGTGTCACACAGAGAACGTGACGAGGCATTCCTGGGATTCAAACCCAGGCTGTCCGCCCACAGACACCAGGCTTCTCCTCACTTCACTTTACTGTCTTTTTCAAGATAGCCTCTTCTGCATAGTAATTCTATGAAATGTTTTTAGAGACTCTGTAATGAAAGGGTTCCATGGTTGAATAAGTTTGTATAAGCAAGGTTAAATAAATAAAACTAAAGTTTCTCTACTCCTGGACTCTTTTTTTTTTTTTTTTAATTTGAGAGGGAGTCTCACTTTGTTGCCCAGGTTGGAGTGCAGTGGCATGATCTCAGCTCACTGCAAACTCCACCTCCCAGGTTCAAATGATTCTCTTGCCTCAGTCTCCCAGGTAGCTGGGACTGCAGGTGTGCACCACCACGTCTGGCTTATTTTTGTATTTTTGTAGAGACAGGGTTTTGGCATGTTGGCCAGGCTGGTCTTGAACTCCTGACCTCAAGTGATCTGCGCACCTCGGCCTCCCAAAGTGCTGGCATTCCAGGCATGAGCCACTGTGCCCGGCCTCCTGGATTCTTGAAGAACCAGATGGTTATCAGGATCTTCATGAGCAGGATGGAGCAGGCACATGCGTTGAGCTCATTTGACCATGGGGACTCTATTTGTGGTGGATCATCTCAGGGCATATGTTTTGTGAAAATTGGCTGTAGAGGCATTCTAGGTGGGAAGATTTTTAGAGGAAGGAGTCATAGCTCCAGTTTCTGTTTAGTTCTCACTCCTCCATTCCAATTGTCCTCCAAATATCCCATCATTGCCCCACTAATGACTGTGCTGGCCCTGCTGTGCACCTGGCATGCATTCAGGGAATAACAAGCTTATGTACTGAGTTTCCAGAAAGTACAGTGCAAACTTTCAGTGTACCCAATTGGTAATTTGCCATTTAGAGAATTCTTCCTAAAGTAGATGATTTCTGTTAAAGCAAATCACTATTCCTAACTGATTTATACTTTTGGTAAATCTAAATTTTCATGAAATAGGCTTTTAAAGCAAGCCACATTTGGATTTTCTCCTATGGACAGGAAGAAAAAGTTGGATGGACACAGAAGGACAGAACAGGGCGTGGAAACCATAGGATAAAAGCTGTGGGTTTTCCCCAAAAGTTGCTCAAAGGAATAATGTGACTTCTGCTTTTCTTCTCCTCTGGGTGGCAGTTGGGGAATCCAGCAGCCTGTTGAGAAGACAGAACTAGTTAAGTTGTGGGGAGGTGCAGTCTAATTGTTAAATCTTTAAAAGCCTTGGTTGTCTGACCTGCTGGTTTTCTTGCTTACAGCCCCTGCAGATATATTCTCAGCCTACTTTAACTCTGGCATGCAAGGTTTTTCTCCTTGCTGAGTATCATTTGGTTAATTTCCATGTTCAATTCTACTCTGTCCATGATTACCACGCACCTACTATGGTCTTGCTTTGAGTCAGGCACTGTGGCTTTAGTAATCATTATAATTCACACATTAATTCATTCATAAGGTCCTGGAGATACCAAGATGAGTGAAGCATGATCTCTGCTTTGGAGGAGAACTCAATGGAATAGACACGAATAAGCCAAATAGAGAGTCGATCTGAACTTGTGGCAGAATTTAACGGTCAACAGGGATGGAGAAACACAGAGGTTTGAGAGATCATAACCATGTGCTGGGATAGTTTGGTCTGGAAAGTTTTCTTGATGGAAGGGGCAACTGAGGCGGGCTTTGAAAGATGAGTAAGATGTAGTTATACAGAGAAGTTGGTAGAAAAGACCTGGTAGAAGAAACTTCCTGAGCAAGGAGAAGGACTTGAGGATGTCTAGAGGGTATTATTAGTTTGTCGGTGGCAAAGTGGCACTAGATCTAAGTTCTCTGGCTTTTTCTATGACAACTGGTGACCTTTCCTATGTTAGATCCTCTCCTAACGTCTGACAGTAATGGAAATCTTTAGGTGTAGAGTTTCTAAACAGCCTAGGTAAGTCATTTAACTTTTGGTAACTCATTTTTTTTTTTTTAATCAGCAGAAGGGGGACAAAGTACTTAATTTATGAGGTTAAGGTAAGAATTATAAGTGAATGATATATATAAAGCTTTAGAACAATGGATGACACCTAATAATTGACCATTAAATGTTAGCTATTATTATCATTACTACTAATATTCTGGAATACAGGAGGATTTCAGCAAACAGTTGGCCATGAGAACTCTAAGGGTAGGCACACTTAATTATTTCTGCATCTTAATTATTGCCAGATTGTGAGCTGGTAGCTTTCAATAGACCCCCATGCTATTGGGCCAACTCTCTATCTTCATGTGTATCCTGTGTGAGTTCCTCTCGGGTAAAGAATATTTGACCCCTGTTTAGAAAGATTGCCTTTCACAATCTCCCAGTTCTCTAGATGGGACTTGCTGAGCTGACAGAATGTACAGGGAAGAACTAACTATTTTTAGGGTGAACTAGAAAGATTAGAACTTTGTTCTCTTCTCAAATAGCAAACCTCCAACCTGTGGAAATCCAGAGAGGAGTTATTGAAGAATCAGAGGTAGGGAGGTGTTTGTTGTACTCTTTTTTATTTTTATTTTATTATTAGTTTTTTGAGACGGAGTCTCACTCTGTTGCCCAGGCTGGAGAGCAGTGGCATGATCTCGGTTCGCTGAATCCTCAACTGCCCTGGGTTCAAGAGATTCTCCTGCCTCAGCCTTCCAAATAGCTGGGATTACAGGCACCTGCCACCGTGCCCAGCTAATTTTTGTGTTTTTAGTAGAGACAGGGTTTCACCATGTTGGCCAGGCTGGTCTTGAACTCCTGACCTCATGATCCACCCTCCTCAGCCCCCCAAAGTGCTGGGATTACAGGCATGAGCCACCGCGCTCGGGCTGTTGCACTCTTACTGCTTAAAATTCTCGCATAAAAATAATAACAGATCCCTGGTGATGGAGCATCTTCTCTCTGTCAGGCCCTAGGTGCATGCTTTATACATACACTATTGTTCCATGTTTAGAGCAACCTCATGAGATTGGTTTTATTCTTCTATTTTGCAGATAAGAAAATTGAGGCATGGAAACAAAGAATGTTGTCCACAGCCACACCGAGAGGACAAAGTAGAGCTGGGATTCCAACCCTGGTCTGTTCAGCTTCAAGACCCAATCTCTCTATGAGGATGAAAATAATGAAACAAATCAAAACAGATGAAACAACCTTGGCCTACAGGCTAAAGAATGCACTCACTCACTCAAGTCATAGTGAAGATGTGGAACACATCATTTTGCTGGTACAGAGGCAGATTCACAGCTGAGAACGTCAGGGATTCTGTCTCAGAGGTGCTCATGTCCTTATGAGGGAGGTGTAAGGACTACCTTGTTTTTCGTCTGCCCATCTTCTTCATTTCATATTGGGATCTCCCCTTCCCAGTTCGCACGCCAGCTGGAAGGTTTGCCAGTCCAAATCCCAGCACTCCTCTGGCCAAGGGGTGAATGCTTGACTCATATTGGAAAATCAGACTATAGGAAAGTAAATGATGTCCCCCTAATCTGAAAATGGCTACAGTTGATTAACCTGGCTAGCAGCACCCTGAAGATAGCTGCCCATTTGTTCCTGCCATCTGGCCATTTAGCTTTCCTTCTTTCTGGGAGCTTCCTTGTGGCAGCTACTGTAAGTTGGTTCACTCAGCACCCATTCCATTTCCCATCAAGCTGTGATTTCTCTACTCTAGAACGTGGAAGGCTCAAAGCTCACTTTCCCAGACGTCCTTGCAGCTAGGTGTGGCCATGATACTTGACCAGCGAGATGCAAGTGTAAGTCTGCTGGGGCTGTCTATCCCCTTTCTCCTTCCTATTGGAATGTGGACCTGATGATTGTAGCTGTGGCAGATACCTTATGAGCATGAGGGAAAGCTTAAGAGAATTGCAGGCACCAACCTGACACTGCTTAGTGACGTCAGGCAGGCACGGACTTCCCTTTGGGCTCCTTGCTGAAGAACTCCATAGTGATTTCTGTTACTTGTGGCCAAACTCACCTCTTCACTGATACATGATCTGCACACTTTCTTTGCACTTTTATAAACAGGGTGTGTGCTTGAGGTAGGCAGAGTTTCTGTTTGCAACTAAGAAACCTTAATTGACATAAGGGAAGGAAAATAGTATTATGATGATACAAAGCAAACCACAACACCATCCAGAATAAAATATATTCTGGCAGGAGGACGGTCACAATACAAGTTCATATAGACGTAGTCTGTCACATTTTTAAGTTTCCTCACAATGTTTTCCTTTGACTGTCCCAGATATCCTATAAAGTAAGAATTATTTTTATCCCCATCTTAAAGGTTAAAAAAATCTCAGAGTTTAAGTACTGTGGAAATTATTAGGTTGGTGCAAAAGCAGTTGTGGTTTTTGCCATTTCTTTCAGTTACTTTAATGGCAAAAATCACAATTGCTTTTATACCAACCTAATAAGAGAATAAAGTGATTAATTAAAACTGTGAGAGCTTCATGAAATGGGTGGTTTTAAGCTGAGCTTTGAAGGATGAACAGGCTTTTGAGAAAGGCAGTAGGTGGTGGACAGAACATTCTAGCTGAAGCAAGAGCTGCTAATGCTGGAAGGCTGGGTGAGTTTGGAAAGTGTGGCTGGTGCTCAGGCTGGGGCCTAGAGAACTTGGGAAGCACGTGAGGGTAGGAGGTTTGGAATAGTTGGCAGGGGCCAGATCATGAAGGGTCAGTACCCTGGCAGCCTCTTTGGATTGCAGAGAACAGAGGCATCCAGGTGAGCTCGAGTAATGAGGTCATTGTGAAGATGCATATGGGAACAAAGGAGGTTCTAGAATTAGGGCAAAGATTCTTGGGAACTGGGACTACACCACAACCAACACCACAGAGTGAATGAAAACCTCAGAACAGTCAGACCTTATAGAGGTTGGAATGTACTCTGGCAACATGAATCTGTTCAGAATCAAACCTAGTTCCAGTAATTGACTTATACTGTCTTCCTCTCAGTAGCAAAAACTCATTGGTTCCTACTCTAAAGGTCGGCTATTAACATGAAACCCTTTTGTATTCGATTCTCTGTGTATATCCTCAGCTCACATCCTCCAGAGTGTGTATTAGGATGAAATCAGCTCTGCTGTGATAACAGATAACTCTAAAACCATCAGGGCTTTACATCATTACACAAAGTGCCACCTGAAACATGTGTCCTCAAAGTTCCCCATGGCAAGAGAAGATAGGGACCCAGGAAGCACACAAGTCCTTAATATTTTTAATTCTTATCTTTGCATTCCATTCATCAGAAGTAGCTACATGGCGCTACCTAATTGCAAAGGAGCTGGGAAAGAGGAAATCACACAGAGTATTTGATAATCGTGAACACTCCCTGCTATGAATCTGAGGGATCTCGCTGGTCACCCTCATCTCTACTCGGCAATGTGCTCTTGACAGGGACACCTCATTGGCCCCTTTCTAGGAATGCATTGGCTTGGCTGCCCTTTAGTCAGATGTCCTCTCCTGGTCCAATGAGCTGTGGCCTGGAAAGAAGAGGTCACGGTCTCTGTGACGTAGGCAGGACAATTTCCATTTGAGGACTTTAATGATTTAATGGAATCACTTCACTATATTATGTGAAGACTGGGAGTTTATGTTGAGGCACTGGGGAGCCATGGAGGGTGTTAGCAGGGCAGTGAGAGGCATGGTTGGATTTACGTTTCTCACAGGTCACTCTGAGGCTGGCCTCAGCATAATGGGTTGGAGGTAGAGAGACTAGTTGTAATGCTGCTGTTATTGTCCAAGGAAGACACTAGACAGACACGGAATTGAGGTAAAAGGCTGAAAGCGAAGACCTTGCAGAATTGAAGCAGGCAGGAAGTCATATGCCAGAATAATATACAGAGTATCTCACACTTGATTGTCATCAGAAGTGAATGAGACCCTGTCTATAGAGAACGTAGCACACAGACTCAGCATCTGCTATTATGCCCTACTCAAAATGTTTGATATAGGACCTCTCAGCCTCTGCTGGAATACTTCCAGGGACGGGAAGCTTACCACTGTTTCAGCAGTCTGTATATTGTGGACATAGTTAATACTTTGAAAATGCCTTCTTAGATTAATCTCAATTCTTCCCTCCTCCTCCTTTTATCCTTTGTTTCTCCACCCATCATCCTTTTCTCTAGGAAAAGGACGTCTCCTAAGGAAGGGAGACAAATCCTTTTGGCTCCCTCAGATTTTCTCCTCCTCCTCCTCCTTCCAGCTTCCCAAGAAATCCCAGAATAGAACTTCCACTCAAGGTCCCATATTGGCCTTGTCTCTAGGGACATTATGATTTTCCTTTATCAAGATGGGAGCATCCTAGGCTTTCCAGGGAGCAGAGCCTGGACCTCTGAGAGGCCACAGACCATGGAATCAGTAGAAGTTATTGGTCATTAAAATGCTTTCCTGGATATTCTTATAACAGGAAAAGATTATGGTGAGATAATGGGAAATCGCTTAAGCCAGGAGAAGGAGGGTCTTGGGGACTAGTAGGTATGATGTTCAGCTAACTGGGCCCTTATGCTGGCAGTTCTAGGCCTCAAAGTCATCCCAGTGGTCAAAGCCTTCTTGATCACTGAAATCAGGTGTCTCCAGTTAGTGTTCATGTTTTAATCTGAATACAAAGCCCAGTTCCACTTTGCTCTGTTTATGTCTTTAGTGCTTATTTATTGAGTGCCCCCTAGGATCCAGGCAGTGAGAACTCTGACGAACCTGGGAGGCAGAGCTTGCAGTGAGCCAAGATCGCACCACTGTACTCCAGCCTAGGGAACAAGAGCAAAACTCCATCTCAAAAAAAAAAAAAAAGGTGATAATTTAAAAAAACAGTAATATGTGGGCCAAACATTTTATATAGATTATTTTATTTAATCTTACCAGTGATCCTATGAGAAACTTTTCTATTCCCATTTTGCAAATGGGAAATTGAGGTTTAGAAAGGTCAAGTAAAATGCCCGCGATGACACAGCTAGGAGCTAGAATTCATGTCCTCACTTGAAAATACTTTTTGCTTTGCTTCCCCATTACACACACATACACATACACATGCACGTGTACACATGCATACACATACTCTGGGAGACCAGAGGGGAAGCAGCACCTAACCAGCCCAGGATTGCAGGGATCACTTCCTGCAGAAGTGATATTGGAGCTGAGTCCTCAGGAAGTGTGCAAGCTTACCAGATAGAGGGGAGGAAGAGCCTTCCAGGCAGATGGAAGGACATGGACAGCATGCCAGGTGAGAGGGTGTGCAGTGGATCTGGGGAATCTCTAAGTTGTTTATGGTTGACATATGACTTGACTGGAGAGAAGGATGGGAGATGAAGATTAACAGGTGGACAAAGTTGGGCCAGGATGGGGGAAGACAGGCATAGTCACTGTGACCTTTGTGATGGCTGGAGGAGGTGACCTGACAAATACGCATTCTCTGTAAAACAGGAGTAGCCTTCAGGCCACATTGTCTCCATCTGCTCGCTCCTCCCTGCAAGCCCTAGGCTAAGTGAGAAAGTGCCTCCTGAAGCTCTTATTGTCAAAAGGATGGAGTTCCTGAAAGAATGGAAGATGTGTGTTCACTCTTAGCTTTATAACTTGTTATTTGAGGGAATCTTGGGCTGGCCTCTTCTCTAAATCTCAGTTTTCTTGTCTATAAAGTGGGGTTATTAATACCAATGTCATCACAAAGTTGTAATAGGGAATAAATCAAATAACATAAAAACATACACATGCTTCATAACTATTTTGTGTTTAACTCTTTGTTCTGGTTACCCATTGCTGCATAAAAAAGACCCCAGAACTTAGTTGTGTAAAACAACTTTTGTTTTGCTTCCGAGTCTACGATTTGGGCAGAGCTTGGCAGGGAACTGCTCATCTCTGCTCTACTCACTTTCAGCTGTGGCAGCTTAAAGGCGGAAGCTGGAGTCATCCGAAAGCTTTTTATTCCTAGGCCTAGTAGTTGCTGCTGGCTGTTAGCTAGGACCTTAGCTGAGACTGTAGAGCATCTCGCCTGGCCTCTTCATGTGGCTCCCTGAACAACAGGGTGGTTGCTCCCAGGAGGAACCTGAGAGAGCACCAGGTAGAAGCAGTAAGATAACCTAGCTCCAGAAATTAGATAGTGTTGCTTCTACTTCATTGTATTTACTAAAAATGAGTCACCAAGCTTGGACCACATTCAAGAGGAGGAGAATTATACTCTATCGTTTGATGAGACAAGTTCCATTGGCTGAGCTAAGGTCACACTGCTGGAACTGGGGAATGGGTTAATGGCTCAGAAGAAGCTCTTCCTGCATCCTAGGCTGGTTAGATACTCCCCCCATCAAAAGATGGAAATTTGTTTTAAAACCATGTTTTAAAACCAACACACCTTTTGCAGCAAGTTGCTATCATGTGGCAGGCAATGAGTCAGGTGGGGGTGGATATGAGCAGTAGGGAAGATGAAGTAAAGTCTCATTCCTATTTTGCACTGATTTTAATGAGATTAACAACACTTATATGGCTGATATCTCAGCTGAAACACTCAGATGAAATTGCTTTATGGCATAAACAGGTAAGCTATTATATTGTATTTCACAGAGGGGCACTGTCAGAACAGTATCAGTTGGTTGAAAGTAATACAAGCTTAGTTCATCCTTAACAAAACACTAGCAAAACTGAATTGAACAGCACATTAAAAAGATAGTTCACCATGATCAGGTAGGATTCATCTCAGGGATGCAAGGATGGTTCAACATATGCAAATCAACAAATGTGATATATCCGGTCAACAGAATCAAGGACAAAAACCATATCATTTCAGTAGACACAGAAGGAGCATTTGATAAAATTCAATATCTCTTTATGATTAAAAACTCTCAAAAAACTAGGCATAGAAGGTGTATCCTTAACACAATAAAGACCATATATAACAAATCACAGCAAACATCATACTGAATGGGGAAAAGTTGAAAGATTTTTCTTTAAAATCTAGAACAATACAAGGATGCCCATTTTCAACATTTTTATTCAAACTAGTGTTAAAGGTGCTAGCCACAGCAATAAGACAAGATAAAGGGTACCCAAATATGAAAGGAATAAGTCAAATTGTCTCTGTTTGCAGGTAATGTGATCTTATTGAAAATTCCAAAGTCTTAACTGAAATCTCTTAGAACTAATATATGAACTCAGTAAAGTTGTGGTGTACAAAATCAACATGCAAAAATCAGTAGTGTTTCTATAGACCAATAGCAAACTAGCTAACAAAGAAATCAACACAACAATCCTATGTACAAAAGCTACAAAAAATACATAGGAGTAAATTTATCCAAAAAGGTGAAAGATCTTTACAGTAAAAACCATAAAACATTGATGAAAGAAGT